GGAATTCGAATTTCTCAACTCGCACAGACTCATACTTCACCCATGTTACACCGGCGCCTCGGAGTAGCGAATGGGTATTTTTTTCCCCCGGCAAAACACCGCGAGGAGAGCTCGGCAGTTTGAAGCTTTTGTGTGTTAGAGTATGTTTGGACGAATGTTCCTCGCACACGTACATGTGTACGAGGAACTCCACGCGAGTCGCTCGTCAGTGGACGGGACTGCATTTTGAAATCTGCGTCACGGACTGGTCGTTCATATGTTCCTGCGTGTTTCGACCCGACGATGGCGGAGACCGACGTCGCCGCAGTATTTTTGCTATTCCCTCCCTGCTCCGTTCCTTGCCTCGATGATCTAAAGCACCAACCGGAACCGCTGGTCAGACGATTAAGTTTAGGGTTGGAACATTCTGTTCGAAGTGTTCCCTCGTCCCGCTCACATCGAGCACAGAGAGCGTTTGGTACCCGTTTAGCATGGAACTGCTGCTCATGGTCTCTTGCTTCAGCTGGTTTCCCAACTGCTCCTGGTTCTCAGAGCTTGGGGTTTCCCAACTGCTCCGGGGCCTTTTGTGTTCTCCAGAACCCTTGATCCATCCTTCGGACCCGGGCTCGTGGAGAACGCTCCGTCCTGGCACGTTGGTTTCAGTGACCTCGGGGAGAAGAAGCTCCAATAATAACAGTAATTGGTCAGAAGCGGTAATGAGGTCAGAAGCAGGAAATACTACTTTTCCGGATCTGGAACTTGCGCGAGCGGACGCTGTCACTCGCGGGGGGGAAAAAGCTCCAGCAGCCACCGACTGATGTCATGACAGCGGCTTATGTAGTTCTTTCTCGGAATAATGACATGTCAAAAGCGGACACCAACAACGACAACTGCAAGCGCCCAGCTGCCCCGAGATCCGCAGTGGCAGCAGAAGGAACGAAACAAGAAAGACGACGAGAAATGAAGAAGGAGAAGGACACCGACCGGGAACTATGTGAGAGGGCGTTGGCTGTGCCGCTAAAAAGTGAAAAACGACAGGATTAACTTTTAGCTGTCAGCTGCCGGTCTGGCTTTGCTCGCTAGCTGGTCAGATGACCTGTCTTCCTCCCTGCGAGCAGTCTCATTCCCCACCGGTGTCTTTCGCTTCCTCCTCATCTTATCGGTCTGTCCATTGGTCGGCCGATCGCTCGTAGGTTCGTGCGTTCGTTCGTCCGCTCGTTGCAGTGAGTAGGGTAATGTTATCCCGGCTTAATAAGTCCCCTGTGCAACTGCGGACAGCTTCTCACCGGTTGCTCCAAACGGTGACGACGTCCGAATCCAGCGACGGAGGAGTGGCGGTTCTGGTAGTCCCCCGACCGCTGCCGGTGGGACGAGCTACCGCACGAGCAGGCGAACGGAATTTATTTTCCTAGATCAAGCAACCTGTGAGATGGAACACTTCCACGAAGCGGAAAAGTGTCGACAACGACGAAAGGCTCAGGGGGGAAATTCAGGAACATGACTTGCTCTAGTCCCGAACACAGTCTAAACCGAAGCGTAAACAGGAGGAAAAATCATCTGCATCTCCTCCTTCTTGTTTCCATGCCGCCGTCTCTCCGAGAAGTGAGTGCCACTACAGATGCTAGAGAGACGGATGGATCCAATTCGGCAGACGACCTTCTCCTGGGTTCGGCTCGTTCCGTGCAGATTCCATTGAACAGGCAAAAGCGTATGTGTCTCTTTTATTCGTTCTTTTCTTTCAAATGCGCTTCCCCACTTTTCCTCTCTCTGTTCCAGCCCTCTTCTCTTGTGCCCCGTTCCCCCCCCCCCCCCGACGCTTTTCCTTTATCTCCCAGCGGTGCTTTCCGTGCTCCGTCTCTTTCCCTTAGGAGAGAGACAGGGAATCTAATTTTGTTCGTTTCTCGCCGGTTCCTTCCTTCCTTTCTCGATTCCTCCATCCACAAACCCATCCACACAATCCGTCTTGTGGTTCCTTCCGTGGTACTTCGCTTATTTATGGCTCTTTCTCCGCTTCCCCTCCTTCTAATTCTCCGCATTTCTCCCCGCTATCCTTGCTTTCCAGCTCCTAATCTATCAGATATCCGAACCCTTTGCCGTTCCGAGAGTTCGCGGCTTTTCAATTTCGAAGCGATAGCGGAGGAGGTAGAAAACGGAGGAATCGGAATCCGGGAGAAAAGGACGCAAATACGCATGCGTGCACGCCTGGCTGCCCGCACGTCCCATGCAAACGTCGTTACGCGAGCTGCGGCGGCCACGCACGCTCGCAGGCGAGCACCGCCATGGCCTCGCACGATTTCATAGAGACAAGAAAACAGGACAGCGGCGAAAATCTGACACATTGTGCAGGTTCATAATTTACCTTTAAAACAAAAGATTGTCATGCTCGCTGTCTCGGGACCCGGCTCGCTCGCCTGCGCGACCCGTGCTGTTTCCGTCCTGTCAGGCTCGCCGGCCTGAGGGACGACCGACCGCCTTGCGAGCTTGTTGCTGCTCTCTTCCTCCGGTCGTTCCATCGCAGTCGAAATCACGTGTGGGCCCGCCACAACACCGACCGCAAGCAATGCAACAGGAACGATCATTTTTCATTCGTCCACTTCGCAAAGCAGCAGCCGTCGCAACATTTCGCTGACCAATACGACCAACAAGCCGGCCAGGCAGAACACGACTTGCGCCGAAGGTTTCCTACCCAGAAGGCTTGCGACTGCTCCCTCGCTGCTGGCCGGCGATTCCATCGCCATCGTTATTTTTTTTCCCCGATAGAATTTCCCGGGTTACTCCGGCCGGCCGAGGGTCGTCGCTAAGCGCGTCCCCACGCTGGCGAGAGTCGTCCTGACTGCGTGAGTACATCCCTCGGGGTATGACGATTCACAGGAGCCGAGGCTCGAGTTAGTCGCGACCGATCCGCCGCAATAATGTCGAGTACGCCGCGCCGCCGCCAAAGCGCGCCGTGATCCTCAGCAGAGAGCCGAGCTGTGTGAAGGGAGAGCTGGAGGCGAGAGCCGGAGACCACATGCCGCCCGTCCCTAATCCAATATCAATATCTGGTTAGCGTTGTAGAACTCCAACATAAAACAGGGTCGTCCGGGCAGCTCGAACTGCGCTCAGTAGAATATTCATTAAAGGCTCCGGTTGGGGTCGGGCCGCCGCTGCTGCCGCCGCCGAAGGGCCTGCGGTAATGGAAGTGGCATCGTCTGTTTCCTCTTCCTTCATTCGGCGATTCTCTGTCGCGCTCTCAGTCTAAGTGAGTTGGTCGCGCGTATCGTCTGCTCGAAGTCGTTCGCTCCTCTTCTCACGCAGCACCATCAGCAGCTGCTGGCAAAACATTAGTCCTAAGGGACAAAATCTTAATTCGGTGCCAGCATGAGCCCAGAGACAAACTCAGGTGCCATTAGGTAACATAACCACTCCGACTCCGTTCCGCGCACACCGCGTTCGGAAGGCGAGTTACGAGGTAATAGAGCGGAGGAAACGAAGAGCAGGAGGCAGAGCGGAGGCTCGTGATCTATCTCTGATGGAGGCGACGGCGAAATAAGCGTGATACGACCCCGGGCTTGGGTTTCATGAGAAGGAGCGACAGAAGGGAAAGAAAGACTTTTTAAAAAGTCATTTGCTTAGCTTCGCCGCGCGAGGTCGTCGCCGCTCTGGTCGCCATGCTTGGCAGGAGATCTCGGAAGAGGAGGGAAATTCACCTGAGAGCGTCCTAGTCGGCCCGACTAGTCTCCTCGGCTTGACATGCAACGTTGTGCTTTCAGTTCTTGTTCCTTTCTTTATTTTTTGCGCTGCCTGCTCGCGTGTCCTCTCCGCTGTTTCTTCGGCTGGTTGGGTGGTCGGTGGGATGGATAGACGGATGGATGAACGAACGAACGGATGGATGAAGGGAGGGACGGACGGACACGCCGCCATCGTCGCACACCTCCTCCGGCCCGGTCCGAATACCGCATCGCTCCCTGCCAGTGCGAGAGTCCTCCTCTTCCTCCGCGCTGCCCCTGGTAAATTACGCGGAACGGTGGACAGCCAGCCGGCCAGCCAACCGACCGGCCGGCCGGGGAGTCAGTCGGCGTGCTGCTGCTGTGCCGCCGCCACCACCACGGGGAAGAGGGGAAAAAAGCTTCAAGCTAAGGGAGCCGCCCTGGCGAGAAAGCGACTCGAGTCCACCTTCGGATGTGGCTGGCGAGCACCGAACGAGTTGTTCCCAGTGAGTACATTTCCTCTGCTCGGAGAGCACAGCATGTCGCTAACGAATCATGCCACTTGCAGCGGAGAACAATCGAACGGCTCAACGAGATTCAAGCAGCACCGTCCCATCTCCATGAGGAGAGCGAGTTTTGAATGGGGTATTCGAAATTTAAATTCCTCCGGAATCCCGGGAGCAGTGGCTGCGACTACCTGTTGCCGATTATAATAATTCAATCCTCTGATTCAGCACTGGGGATCCTCCCGCTCAGACCGACGGAGAGCGCGTGAAGAATCTTGAGAAGGATTATCCTCCCTGGGCTCAGATGGCGATTCACTGGAGCACTCTCCCACTCGTTCGGTCTTTTTTGTGGCGTTCTATCTCTGTATGCACAGGTCGGCCATTACCGCAGTAACAAAGGTCCGGTACGATGCATCTTCGGTCTGCGGCTCGAGTCGAGTCGGCGCTCTGCGATTTTATCCCGAGCCCCAGTAGACCAACGTCGATTCGCTCCGAGGGTCGATTCGACGAATGGTCCCCAATTCGAGGACCTTGCCCCGACCTGGAGCTCGAGCCTGGATATCGATTGCTCTGGAGCTCCTCAAAATTATAATCCACAGTGTTGTGTTACCATTACTCGGAAGCCTCACTGAGCTAGTACAAGAGCTCCAAGACTCGACTGCTCATCCGAGCTTCGCCGGTAGGCAGCGGGAAGCTCGGTACCCCTCTCCCGATACATCGGCGACGGCAGCGAGGAACACGCGTGCCGGAGGTTGGTAGGGGAAAACTCTGTCTACGAGTGAGTCATACGACCGGCTGGGGATAATATTAACGAAAGTGGACTTACCTGTAACCTTGTCTCGTATGAGTTTGCATGACTCAACTTCGCCTATCGAAGAGAAGAGAGAGCGTATCTCCTCCTGGGTCATGGTCTGCGGAAGGTAGTTGACGATGAGATTTGTTTTGGAATCCTCGCCCGCGCCGGCCTGTTGGCTGGGGGAGTGTAGGCCATTTGTCTGCGGCCCAGGTGACTGGGACTGCGACTGCGCTTGATTTTCTATGCCGTTCATTTCGTAATCTGGAATGAGGAACAAAGCAACATATTCAATACTCGTTCTCCAAATAATTCCGCTCGTATTTTTCGTTATCGGCGCCGAGCTCGAACGAAAGGTTTCGTGCTTCGTATTTGCTAGTCCATCGCGCGCTTGTTCGGCAAGCTTCTTGCCTGTCCGGGCAGGCAGGCAGGCAGGCGGGAGGGTAGGTCGGTCGGTTGGTCTCTCGCTTGCTCGGTGGCTCGCTTGCTGGGGTTGACACCCCGTCAAAATGTCACGAGAGGCGCTGGCGGCTTGTCACTCTCTTGGTCGAAGCACGCCGACATAATAGAGAAAAGACCAACGAAACTCAAGGCAGGCAAGCAAGCCAGCCAGCGGGCGACGGGCAAGTCCTTTAGAGCGTCTCTCCCGCCTCGTCCCTCTTGCCTCCCAGCAACGAAGAAGCAAGCACCCACATATTGGCTGTTCGTTCCTCCTTACGCCGGCCGCCACCGCGTACGTTATTGGCTGGGTGCGCAGTGCGCGTGTGTGCGCAGGAGACTTTCGTACACAAGTCGCTTCCTTTAAAAAGTCGAACACCGGGATGAATTGAGAGAAAAAAATCCAACCGAAGCTGTCTACGAAGGAGAACGAAAACACGAAACAACTCCTCAACTTCGACGCCCATAGAGCCGCTGAGCGAGGGAAAGACGGGACTCGGGGGGGAAGGTCAGGTAGAGGCATGAGGGGAAGGAAAATGCCCAGGGCGAGAACCGATTCGAAACCTTACAAGCGTATGTAGTCTTTTGGATATTTAAGTTTGCACAGGTTGCGATCGACCCACGGCTAGTCGCCGACGGGGAGGCTGACTGATGGACCAAATCCCGCGTGCCCGGCTTGACCTCATCCCGTTTTTCGCCAGCTTGCGTGCCCCGCCAGTTGGCCTGACATCCTCGATAGGGATGTTAGGTACTCGTGACAGTTATTCTTCCTAGCTCCGCCGGGACGGAGACACCTGCGGCAGTCGATCCATTTTTGACACTGCGCCGAGTAGTGACATTTCCTGACCCCGCGCTCAGGCTCCGCGCTGGAGTCGAAAGAGCAAGACTGCGCCTGGAGCTCGTCGCCGAACAAACGGATGGAGTCCCGCAGAGACGGGTCCGAATCCGAATAAGGGAACGAACATACCGGTTCTCCCCGTGAGTCCGAAAGGAGCCCGTTTTCGCAATACGGAGCGGCGTTTTGGAGTTGGCCAATGGAAAGAAAAAACGTCGTCGTCGACAACCGCGGCCATGGAGGGAGATTACCGCTATGTCCGGTCGGTTTCCCTCGTTGAGGACCGGTAACTTTTCCGTATCCGGTTCCCGAGAGGACCGAGACTCAGCGTTGAACACTGGGATCGTAGATAGACAAGAGAACGGTTTGACGTAGGTACTTCGGAGGACGGGCTGAGCGCGATTTCCTGTATATTGACTCTGTACGTCTTCGGCAACTCATGGTCCCGCGTCCCCGTTTTCGGGGCAACAAACATTCGACTGCTCGCGAATGACATCGGTATTGGACGAATGCCGTGGCAGTCCACGTTTCCGTTCATTTCCTGGGAGTCCGAAAAAAGCAGCCTGGGTCTATGAGGCTAAAAAGGGCGCAAAGTGGTTCCCTGCCGTGTCCATGCACTCCATCTTTTTCGGCGACTTCAGCCACTCGACTCCATGATTCGGATGAAGAACGGCGAGAACGAGAAGCAGGGGAAAAACGAGAGGAATGGGGAGGGAGGAGCTGCCATCGGCCGCACAAAGCGCGATGACAAACAGTTCTTCTTCCTCTCGTCCTCATCTCCCCTTATTCAGCTCGTCGGTTCGCTGGCTGGCTGGCTGCTCATTTCGTTCTTCTGCTCCATCGAGACGAAGACTGAGATAAGATACCCACTATGGAGTGGAGGACGAAGCCGGGAAAACGAGCGACTGTCGGAACGACGCACGGACCGACCGCTCAGCCGGCCCAGCGAGCCGTGGGTTTCTCGGACACCGAGCCAGTCCGTCAGCCAGCTAGACGGACGGTCGGTCAGTCAGTCGGTTGGTCGGTCCGTCGCTCGCATAACTCCCACTCAGCCCGGTGCAGGACGAGGGCTCAGGGGCGAAAAGTCGACACCTCGTGACCAACTTGCCACTAACACGCGTCCAAGCGAGCGGGAAACGCCCGCGGCTGCGAGGAGCCAGCCGGCAACGGAATCGCGTGCTCGCGCGTATTGCTTTGACATCGACCGAGATTACAGATCGCCGAACAACACGATTCGTATTTACATTCGCAGACTCGCTCGGCCGACCTCTGTTTTTCCCTCCACTGCACTAGTTGACGATCTGATTAGAAACTGAGGTCACCGATGAAGCTCGACGAATATCGACGAATACCGGCGAGCAGTCTATCCGCTGACTCCAGGTACGGCTCAATCGCGAGTCAGTGCGACCGACCGACCGTTTGTACGCTGGCTCGGGAAGAGTCTGTGATGAAACGATCAGGAGCGCGACGAGCTAAATTGATTGAGGCGCGGAACATTTCCCCTTGCGAGCTCCTCCTCCCCGCCCCCCGTGTACGCTAGCCGTGTAACTCGTTTGCATGCTCAACTTTCCGCCCGGTTCCGGTACCCCCGCAACGCAATTTGCCGCTCCATAATTAAAAGGAGCTCATTCATTCCGATGCAAGAGAAGCAAGCTCGATAATGAAATATTCCTGGCGGAGGAATTTCGCTTCGGTATGAGAGAGATGTTCCAACTGGAAGCCAGCCGCAGTTTGTCTGCTCGCCGTCGACATGCCTTCGGATGTTCGGATATTTCATTATTCGTGCGGGATTTGTTCCATTCATTCGACGCAGGTGGTTAGAGCGCGCCCGGTCGCGAGTAAGTTTCGCAGCGATTTGTCACAGCGCAGTCCCGCCATAGAAAATGAAGTCGACATTTGCAAACACCCACGGGGAGAGTCTCGCGGGACGCGATCCTCGCTACCAGGATCAGGGCCGGCCCGCTCAGAATCCCTGAATTCCTCCATTAATGGATTCTTCCGGGAGCTAAATTCCACTCCGCTCCGACCCGGAGCAGAATCCAGCTCAACGAACTATATCTCATTTGTCGACGACGGCTTTGAGGATTTATCGAGACCGACGAGGGAAGAACCGGCGATGGCCCGCGCAGATGTATTTGAACAATATCTGCGGTGGGATCCACCGAGTGAATCGATGAAACATCGAATACGTGGAAGCTCGCAATGCACGAACAGATCTATTTATGAGCGGAACAATTACAACGGCATCCATCGACTGACTGGGGCCCAGGCTGGCGGGGTTGCCGACATTTTGGTCCCGTCGACGAGGTACTACTCAAACATATGCTATGGTGTCATCACGAATGACGTCTCTATACAGCTCGTCCGCCTCCCTCAATGGTACAACAATACGCTCAGCTCTAGGGCGGAGGCCCGACACTAGATTGAAATATCTATTTGTTTGCTTGCTCGCTCGCTCGGGTGGATGCATGCACTAGTACGAGCATGCATTCGTGATAATCTCCGAATGAGCCGACGGGCGCAGTCATCAAGAGATACCGTCTAGGATCGAAAACTCCGAGACGTCCACGCCATTCGAAGCAAGACGCTCCTGTAAATCCATGATATAACCAAGGGTTCACCGTCCCTTGGTCAAAAGAGACCATCCGTCGATCGCTCGGAGTTTCGAAATTTTCCTCGCATCGAGGCTGCCTCGGAAAGTCCGAGGATTCGGGACCTCGTAGCGGAGCCAATTATTATTCTTGGAGTTCCCGGAACACTCAGCCACGGAGTTTGACGGGAACAATATTCGGTGCCTTCGATCATGTTCCGCCTCCGGGAAACCAGGGCAACACCAACCCGACCTGCTCTCGTCAATCTGCGGGGCTTCAGCACGGCTTTCAGAGGACTAGGGGAACAGGGAAAGTAAGCGATAGACTGAGAAATGGCTAAGTAAGTGAACGGATGATCGAACGGACGCCTAGCTGTACCGAATCAGCATCTGAATGCCGTATACAAAGATAGTGCATCGCCCGCATAGATTCGCGCCGACGTCAAGGATCAACGCGTTTAATGGATTCCAGTTTTATCTGATTACCAACGTCGGCGGCGGGGGTGACGACGGCCGTCGAGTCGTCGCGGCCACGACCCGGAGACAGCGGCATTGATCGTATCCAGCAATGGCAGTTCCCCTCGGATGCTCTCCGATGCTCAGACATGACTTGCTATAAGGCGACCCTCGACTGGGCACTGGATAGCAGACTGACTTTCACGATTTTTTTATTCAGACGTTTATTCTTCCTCGTATGGGATTTCCCTCGAATTTTCGCGAAAGTGAAGGATGCGACCTCGCATCATCATCTCTATTTCTTAGAATCGAGAGGCTTCTTCAGGAGTCCCCAGGAATACATGGGATGCGGAGGGTGTCTCTGGAGAGTCCGGAACAAGGAAGCACGCGCACTTGCGAGTGCAACGACGGGTTGTCGGCCGCCCTTGCTGCTGGTACCGAACAGACACGAGAATAAAAGCAAAGATATGTTCTCCCGTTACGATGCTTCCTTCTTTGAACGGCTTGCTTTGTCTATTGTTGCTCTCGCGAACCGGCGGACCGACGAAAGGCTAGACCGGCGAACAGGCAGTTGGTCCACTCGCGCTAGCAGTCGGCGGCGCACTGTTTCGAGCGCCCCCTTCTCGGGATCATCGCTTCGTATGCGACGCCCCCTCCTGACCTCGGGGGATCGCAGTCGATCTACTCGAATCATCCGGAGATGATGCAGTCTCTCCCAACTGCACAGCTGCGATTCAAACGCGAGTCGAATGACGGTGACAGCGGAGGATTCCAGACGGCTCCGGTGATTCTCTAA